CAGACACACTGACTGGACACTACAGGACATTAACACTGCACTGAGAGAGAGGGGTTAATACAGTACAAACCTTTTCTGTGACATATTGACAGCGCAGGAGGTCATGGTCCCCATCAGGCAAAATCTCTGGTTCAACAATAGGCACCAGTCCATTCTGAAAAATATGATAAATAGATGAAATTGTGAATCTTTACGTATTTGTATGTTCAAGATAGGACTTAGAATTTCAAGTCAAATTGACCAAAAGCATAGAGACAGGCATATCAAAAACTGCATAAAGGCAGCTGGACTGATAAGATGGAGTAAATTTGGGTGGTTGGTCAATCAATTAAGCTTATTTGTGGTTCAGATCAAAAGGGTCTGCTAGATTCATCTAAGCCCTGGGGTAGACATAGAACCAAGCACCCATGAGAGATTGTCAAAATACTTCAAAGACCCTAAAAACCTCATGGTACAGAAGACACGGGTAAAATCAGGTCAAATCACACAAACCAAGCAAGGCTGGGCCTGGCCGGGAATGGGATGAGAGACCAGGGAAAATGGGGTTGCTGCTCAATGAGGTGTAGATGGATCAGTAGGTGGAGCTCTTCCCTTTGGATTGTAACCTCCAAACTCATGCACCTGTATGGTGACCAGAGACACTGCTGTAGGAGGTACTGTTAAACTGGTACTTGGCCATTACAGACCCAGGACACTGTCAGTGAGAGTAGGGGTGCTGACCCCAATGACTCAATCCCACCTGGTCTTGGAACAATGTTTTCTCTGAAGCTCTCTGTGAATTCAGGTGATGCAGCAGTTCCTCTCCTCCCCCTGAACGGTGTGCAGTGGGGCGTGTGTGGGGATACTGCATGACTGTGCACATAGAGAGGGCCCCATGCAATAACAGTCCATCAGGCTGTGTAACTCTTTTTAACGCCTCACTTGCTAACTGGCTTGAGAAGACAAAAGAGCCAGGTGATGGAATAATCCTATGGCGTGAAGATCATGCTGGCTGGCCCTTTCAGAGACATGGGGAATTCCAGATGACATCTCAACCATGCCCTCAGCTCCTCAACTGAATCAACAGCTTGATCAAAGAATGGGCTGTTTATCTTCTGACTTCTCAGCAGTAGGGGATGTAAAGAGGAGCAGGCGACTGCACCTCCAGGACTCCAACACCACTGCATGACAGCGCCTATGTCTCTATATG